ATGGCTTACTTTTATTCTCGCCATGCTAATAGAAGTTCATGTGAAAAATTATACAACAATTTGGAAGACAATAGAAACGGTCTCCATATCACATATGTATGGGATAATACTGTCTATTATTTTATCCCTAATGATATCTCTATGGTAGTATTAGCATCAATCAAGGAGGAATCTGGTGTTACAGGCGAATGATGAGGATACCGTGGATAGAGAAGGTTAGAAATAGGGAGGTATTACAAATAGTAGGAGAGAACAGGGAGCGCGAAGGAAGTCAATAAGACATGCGAGACAGGTTGGTATGACACCCTCTTAGGCATAAAGGGCTAGTTTAAGGCATATTAGAAGTAAAACCAGAAGTCAATAGGGGTGAAAGTAGACCTAGATTAGATTACTGTTCACAAATAGTTATGGAGATACTTGTACAACCAGTCTTAAGAGTGACGACCCTATGATGATGGTGATATCTGATTCCTGTACGAAGATAATCATACAATATATTATTTATAGCTCAAATAGGTACCCCCCTTTTTAACAAAAACTACTCCGTCTTTTTCATTTCTATATAATGTCTTAAAAAAGATAAATGGAATGAAGTTTTTGGTATAGAATGTCGTTGTCGCCTTTAATTACGAATATTGTACAACTCAACGAAAACATTAGAAAATTGGACAAACTCATTCTACCATTGCAATCCTCAACTAATTGGATACAATTCGTTGTGCCCCAATAATTTCACAATACCTACATACCTACCATAGATAGAGATGTTTAATAATTGCAAATCAGTTTGGACAACGCATCAGTGAACATATAAATGTTACTGATGCGAGATAATAGATACGGGTACATTGGCTCCGAGAAATATCCGTTAAGTTTACATCTCTGCCTTCCAGCAATTCCTGGATTAGTTTATTCGAATGACTCCACAAACGAATGCTATTTTCGCGTGTTGCCTTAAGGGATTCAACCTGCACCTATTTGAAGACATTGTATAAAACCAGGCTGTTTTATTCATCAGGTAGACTTTTATCCAATGTAAATGATGGATTCTTAGTTTATACGTCAATGTAAATGGTTGATGACATTAAAACGGGACCATTTTAGACATGTACCTACTAGTGGCTAGTAATGTTCGAGCATAGAAATATTCTAATAAAAACGAAATTTATCGAAAGTATCAGACATAAAAGGCGATTTCGATCTTATTAGATCTCATACGTCATCCGTATTGGAATGCTACATTGAGTGGAATTCAATATGTTCAACATGATCCATTTACATTGATAGATACCTACTTGCTGAACCTAATCCACGGCGTAGTGATAGACGCGTTACCAGAATCGAACAAAGAAATTCATGGTGGTCAATATTCTGCTGAAACAGCCAAACGCGGATCGTGATTTCGATCTTGATGGATCTCATCAGTTGTAGACAATTTCGACAGAACATAGACCAACTGTCTTGAAACAGCAGTTTGGACACAAAACTGACCACCATGAACTTCTTTGTTACCAAACAAATTTTTTACTAACACACTGCCAATGGATACAGTGAAAAGATTGTCATTATATCCAAAGCAAATACTGTTTATCAAAAATTAAAGTAAATAGTTGACGTTATGGGTGAAACCACGTATGTTTCTTTTGTTATTGTTACATTTCACTCCTAATTGTTCATTAGGGATGGCGCCTTTGAATTTAAGATACTCCTATTGGGATCCGTCAAATGGGAGGAGCCTAAAAACATGGCGTCGTTTAGGGAAAATTTATCGTAGTTCTTATAGTGTACCGTGCAATTTCCAAGTTTTTAAATTACGATAAAATGATAAATATTGACACAATATGTGATTGGGCTGACACAAAGCCTCGGAAAGGAAATTTCGTTGAAGGTGAGCGTGTTTTTAATGCCAATCATATTATAAAATTCGGAAATAACAAATCCGAAAGCTAGCCTTTAAATTCCGTCAAGTTTACTGCCTACTTCTTACAAACTTCGGATTTAAAAAGTGATTCACGTTATATAATTGGTGAGGTGATTCTGGGTGATTTAAGCAGTATTATATCAATGAGTTGCACGTGCAAAGCCGATTTATGAGAACGTTGCAAACACATTATTGCAACTTTGTTGTATTGCAGCAGGTAGTTTCTTAACCTCAAAATAATTATATCGTATCGTTAGAATTGTGTTAAATCAATTACACAGGAATAAATAATTTCTCACTTTATAGGTTTAGTATGATTCTAGTTTTAAATATTGAGGTTATGGCTGGTGGTAAATACTTGCTGAAATATAATCATGTGCATTAAAATGACGTGAACAAATTTTTATTCCGGAATTCACTTCTTTGATACCTACTGCTTTCATCCAAGCTTCTATTAGTTTACTTTTTTCTCTAATTTTCCGAATATATTTTTTACATATACAAAACGGTTAGTTTTTATTGGAAAGTAGTTAACGTAGATGAAGAGTGAAAATCTATGTCTGAAGTGCTATTGCAGCTATTCACTGAACATATTAACTTTTTATTTGATTTAACTTTAAAAGAAAACTTCGTCGACTCCATCATCAAAAATATTTTACTTTTTTAACGTGTTTTATTATTTTAATAAACAACTTTACAATTTGCGTGCACAGTTCCTATGTAAATGTTTCCCTCATTCGAGTTATAAATTTTGCCACCAGATGGTGTATGCCCATTTGACGGTTCCCAATTGCCCAGAGGCAGAAAAAATTAAGAGAACAACAATATCAGTTTCATTCGGTTAAAGGGTAATATATATCTACTTAAAAGTTTCCTACTTTATATCCTCTTCGTGTTACTTCTCGGAATCGTAGCACGTTTGAAAGTGAGATCGTGTGTCTTCCCTTTGGGTTTTTCGTTGGATGAGATGGCGTGCAATGGCACTATAACCAGATAAATTTCGAGTAAATAGAATCGGGCGTTTGCTACTGGTGGCGTACTGAAACTCCGACTCTGTTCATATTTAATAAAGTAGAGAGCTCCAATGGTCGATGAATATTTTAAAACCACTAAGGCAGGCAAAGGCCTCCCTGGGATAATTTCTGGAAAAATCAATATCCGAAGGCGTGTACAACCGTCGTCAAACAAAATTTATCTTCGCCTTAGTTTTTCTTTTTTTATTTTTTGTTATTAAATTTTTTCCTACCGTCATTACAGCTATGAGAAAAATGTGAGTTGGCAGTGGTAATTTTGTTTTAAAAAAAATTGTTAGAGCTTACTTATTTTGAGGAAGAAAGATTTTTCGCTTTATCGGGAAAGAAAAATAATTTTAGAAACAATGTTGGTCGTGGAAATAATTTATGTTATTTTTCATAAACAGATTCTAATGAATATGCATATGTGTATACAGGGTGTTTTATGATTTCTATGACAAATTTTGACAGCAACACATGGGTCCATCAGTTCGTTTTTGTGTAGAAATTACAAGCATTTTAAATGTAATTATATTCATGTTTTATTAAACTTCTTTAATTGTTATTTGTTAATATAGTTTAATTAATATTTTAGCCTTAAAACATACAATTTCTAGACAAAAACGAATCGCACCTTTATTCATTTAAGGAAAAATACTTGGAATTAACCCAGCTGCCATCTGCCAAAGGCTGTCTTAGAACTTTTGAAACACCCTGTATTTTCAGAAAACCGTTGTCTTTGTCAGTCAACTAATTGTGATTTGGTATTTCGATAGCAGCTATTAGGTTAGGTGAAAATATGTCGACTTCTGCATAAAAACTAATACAGTTGCTTTGTTAGCTTTTCGAGTTTTCGTAAATCCCTGAACTTCCTAAAGTTCACCTTCTTTGTTCGTTTAATTCCACGGTATCTACATACATATCTATTTATACCTTAAGGGGTCTCGAACTCTAAAAGGAAACTGATAAAAATCTGTCTTCCTCACAAAAATTGTAGCACCTTTGCCCCCATTATCCTTCACGTTTCACGTCACATAAAATTTGTCACCACCGAAAACATCGTCAGCCTTCAGATTGATTCGATTAGGGACAGGATCGTTCTAATTTAAATTCAATCTGGAGAAAATGCACCACATTAAATGTCTCGAGGGATAACATTAATAAAAAAAAATAAAAAAAATAAATTACTGGCAAATCCATACCGGTAATGTTGTAATTCCCCTAAAAGAGTAATTCAAGTTAGAGACATATTGAAACAGAAACAGGAGTTAAGAGGAGTAGATGTAGACCCAGATTAGATTACTGTTCACAAATAGTTAAGGATATGGGATATTCTAGTTTAAGATTAACTCAGCTCCAACCAGTCAAAGGAATGACGCCCTTATTATGATGACGATCAACATTTAGTACATTTGGACTATTAGTAAACATATCAAAAACTTTAGGCCCTCTGCTTAATTCTACGAATGCATAGATAAGGCTGTTATATGTTTTATTACTTTATGTTATATTGAAGGTGAATTATGTCGTCATCATAAGATCGTCAGTTCTAAGACTGGTTGGAAACGCACCTCCACTCATTCCTATCCTGAGCTAAACTTCGTTTTTCCCTAAAACTAGAACACCCCACATCTTTAGCTATTTGTGAGCTGCAATCTAACCTACGTCTACCTCTACCCACCCCTCTTAACTCCTGTTTGTGCTTCTAATACATGTCATGTCCTTCATCCCTGAGTAGGTGTCCTACCAACCTATCTCGCCTATTTCTATTGACTTCCATAAAATCCTCTGTTCCACCATTCTTTCTAATACGTCTTCATTTCTAACCTTCTCTTTCCACGGTATCCTCATCATTCGCCTGTGAAGTATGTACAACATGTAAGTTGCCCGAACAGGAAAAGGAAATGCATCAATTTCCATTTATTTAGAATTGCACTTTGCGAAATGGAATACCTGAGCGCTCCATCTCGTAGGTAGTTCACCTCATTTATTTTCGAATCATCTGCGCGGCACATTCTCATCAGTATCATTCACTTAGCTAACCGTTTTTCCTCTCATTTTTTCAGGTGCGAACACTGTTCGTGAGCGGACTGCCAATGGATGCCAAGCCTCGAGAACTTTATCTTCTATTCAGAGCTTACGAGGTAAGTTAACGTCTTGGACTTCTGTATGGTCTCAACCGTATGCATATTATATTAAAGTTTACGCTACAGTAATGCCTGAGCAGCAGATTGTACACAGAAGCAGCTCGTGCTTGTTCTATGCCAGAAATGAATTATTCAGTTTTGATGAAAAGGCTAAGGCTTTTACGGCTGGAGTTTTCAGAATGGTGTTTGATAGCCGTGGAATAGTATAAAGATATTGTATACAGTATGGTTACTCCTTTGATCTTACATAAAATACCGGCGTTTTTTGCAGGCGGTCATAAATCAACATTATGTGTGCTTAACTGCTATCTTCGGGGCTGGGTCAATAGCTTTACCGATGTGTATAGATCCAGAGTATATTTGTAATGTGCCTTCACCATGACACTCTCTGCAGGTACTACACTCTAGGGGTTTTGCATTCGGGTTTATGTAGAATAAAACTTACACCTATCTAGGTCTTTTTACGGTTTTAATCAGATTTGATTACTTTCATTTAACTCTTAAGTAGTATCAGACAATAATTTTCTTGGAATTGTTTACAGTATTTTCCAGCCATTTAATCTCTGAGTGTTTTCAAATTTTCCGTACTTCAGTTAAATCTAAAATTTAAAGGAACAATTTAATTTCACATTTTTGTAAGACATCAATGAATTTCCATTTTTAGAGGTTTCCCTAATCTCTGAAGTTTTCGTTGAGAGTCGTTGTAAGATATCCGTTATCCTTGATAATCTTCTTGTATGAAATGAAATACAAGAAAGTTGATCTTATTTTAAAATGCTTTTGGTTATTTCTTGCAGAATTAATGACTTTCTGAAAGTTCAAAGAATATATACATACATTACGATTCAAATTAGGACGCTTTAAATTGCCGTATCTGCATGAGCACAATTTTCAGAAAATCCAATTGACTAGATCAAGAATTCTAACTTTATAAGAAATGTATCCGGCATATCATCATAGGCTTAGCTACTATTCCGTTGAAAAGCTTTCACTCGTCTACTAAATTTGGTTAAAATTGCAATTATGTATTACAGTCATCATCATCATAAGGTCGTCAGTCCTAAGACTGTTTGGACACGCACCTCAACTTCTTCCTATCCTGAACTAATCTTCGCATATCTCTAAAACTAGAGCATCCAACATCCTTAACTATTTGCGAACAGTAATCTAATCTACGTCTACCTCTACCCCTTCTAACTTCCGTTTCTGCCTCTAATATATCTCTGAGTAGACCTTCATGCCTGAGAAGGTGTCCTACCAACCTATCTCATCTATTCTTTATTGACCTCTTCATTTCTAACCTTCTCTATCCACGGTATCCTCATCATCCGCCGGTAACACCATATTTCGAATGCTTCTAATCTTTTCTTTTCCGACGTGCCCACCGTCCATGTTTCACACCCGTACAGCGCCGCGCTCCAACCATACACCTTTAACAATTTTTCGAATTTCTAAATTCCGTTCTGAAGGCGACTCAACCCTGACTATCGTTTGCTTTATATCCCTACTACTCCTTCCGTCCTGACTTATCTGACTTCCTAGATGCCTAAAATTAGCCACTTCTTCTAATCTTTCGTCTTCTATCTATTGCAGTAATTCATAGTAATTTATACCGTCCTTTGTCAAATTTTCTCTTCCTTCTTCCATCTCACTCGCATAATTATTTATGGTACAACTTTTGCTCGCTCTATAGGTGCACGCCTTGACATCTTGGCAAAACGGTCGCAAACAAGCAAGTTTTCTTTCTTCGTCGTCCGTTGTCCCTATGAATAATTTAGTGACACCAACTGAAAGGCTCGGACCTTTTAGACGTTGTTCCAGAGTATCTACCGCTAATACATGCACACATGTACGTACCTACGTGTACAGACGTGCTTTCTCGTGTGTCCTGTGGAGCACCTCGGTAGCATAGGGTGAAGCGTTAAACGTTTGTTCACTGAAGGGTTTCTGCCTGGGGTGTTGTTGTCCGTAATGAGAAGCCAAACAAGAAGAGCTCAGTGCCAGGCTCCGAGGGCCAAGGGCCGGTGGGATACAAAAACCGGGCAAATGAAGTCGTGATGTCCAATTAAAAGAAGGTTCGTTACGGCATCTGTCTGACGTAGGATCGTTAGTGTGATAGACACTAGACACTACATGCGTAGACGGCGCTGCCACTGGAAGCACATTTTACACGTGACGAGGGTTCGACAAATGTGCACGTGTCGAATTTAAGAGTGACTTCAATTATTATTTCTAAATCGTTTTAGAAAAAATTAACATTTGGAGTAACAAAGTATAGTATGCGTTTGTGTGGAGATAGCAAATGAGAATGAAACAAATTAGCTGTTGTTGACGAGTTAACTTAGATCTAGAGACGATGGGAACATTTTTAAAAACAAAAAAAAAACAAAAAACTTAAAAAAAAAACAAGTAAAACAAATGTTATATAGCCAACCAAATAAAAATGAAGAAATTTTATTATCATCAAAGACAGTACAACTTTAGGGATAGATTATTATTATCCTGGACTTCTCAGTTTGCACTGGTAACATAGAGCAAGTGAAGACGGGCTAATGCCAAAGAACCTCACTCACATTTTTTGGGATATAGAAACCAATTTTGTGTTCTTAAAATTTAGGGAGCTAACGGTTCTTCTTACCCTAAAATACGATCAGTGAGTATTAAAAACTGTGCTTCTTATTTAACCTGTTGTGTTTTCTGAAAAGGGGGATATGTCAGTACTGTTAAGAAATCTGCGCACTATTCCGCATGTATTAAGGATTACGGATTTCTGTAGACTTATGTACGTAAACTTATGCAGTTTCAACTCGGCTAGGCTAGTGTGTAATGTTTTAGGTATAACGCCTATTGATGATATTATTATTGGAATAATTCGAATTGTGTTCTGATTCCACATGTCTTTTATTTCATCTGCTAATGGAATATATTTTTGAATTTTCTCAATATGTTTTTGTTTAAGATTTTCAGTGTTTGGTACTGCAACATCTATTAGGTAGGTCGTTTTAGTGTCTTTGATGGTCAGTGTGATATCAGGTCTGTTATGATTAACTGTTTTATCTGTAATTACGTCTATATCCCAATATAACTTGGCTAAGTGGTTTTCTAACACATTTTGTGGTTTGTATTTGTAGTAGTGCTCTATCTGATCTATGAGTTTAAACTTTTTGGCTATTATTATTATTGATGACTGTGATAGGGTGCAAAAATGCTCAGGGACACCGAGTCGTCAGACCATTGTACCCCCATCCCCCCGTCTCTCACTCAGGTGTCCATAGACCAGCTGCCCTGCCAAAACACAGCAGCTTCTCCAGGTTCCTGCATAGCTCCTTAAAAAGCTCTCTATCTATTAATCTAGCCCCCAGACATTCGTAGATTACGTGTCTCGGGGTTTCTTCTTCGCCTTCGCACCATCTACATAGGTAACTTAACTTCTTCCCTGTGTTTTGTGGGTGTTGCACCTAAGCTCGCTGTGCCCAGTAAACAATCCTAGGATAAGACGCGCCTCGTTCGTCTTCATGTTCCTTAGCTCCATGTTCCAGCTGTTTATGTATTTCCCGAGCAGCTCCTTGGACCATCTGTGTCTCAGAGTTGCTGCCCAGGTGTTCCATTTTTGCTTTTCCATGATTCTACTTAGGGATAGATAGAAGGCAATAAAAAATTAGTATGCTTAGATATTGGTCTCCAAGGGAAGAAAAGGAAAAGGAGGAAAAGAGTGAATATAAAGATAGGAGACGAAAAATTAAATGAAGTCGCTAATTTAGTAAGATAATTTAGAAATTCGAAAAAGATTGTTAATGGCGTGTGTCGGGAGCATGGTTCTGTATGGGACGGTACGGGCGGCCGAAAAGAAAAGGTTAGAAGCTAGAAGCAGAAACAGGAGTTAATCAAGAAAACATTCCCGTCATTGCCTATCTGTTTTTCCGTACATTCTGCAATATCAAATCCAGTTATTTTTTTATAATTATTATTATTTCCCGGTCTTCTCAGTTTTCACTAGTCGAGCAAGTGAAAACGGGCTAATGGCAAAGAATCTCACTCACATCTTTTGAGATATCGAAATCAATTTTCTGTTCTTAAATTTTTTAGAGCTGATAGTACTTCTTGCCCTGAAATATGATCGGTGATTATTAAAAACTTCGCTTCTAATTTAACCTGTTGTGTTATCTGGAAAGGGGGATATGTCAGTATTGTTAAAAAATCTGTGTACTATTCCGCATGTATTAAATTAGGTAGTTTGTTTTAGTACCTTTGATGGTCAGTGTGGTGTTAGGTTTGTTATGATTAACTGTTTCCCTGGACAAAAATTTTCAGTCTCTCAGAGTCTTTCAGTCTTTCAGCATCTCTGAGAGCGTCTCTCACAGTCTTTCACAGTCTCTCAGTTATTGCCTAGGTGTTTTTACGGATCCCTCATAGTCTCTGTATGAGAGACTCGAACGATAAAATTGTTAATTCAGAGATTTGAGTTTCTCACAGAGAGACTGAATGAATAAACTGAAAAATTGAGAGACTCGAGTCTCTCGTAGAAAGACTGGGATCTCTGAAATATGTTGAACTTTCAAAATTTTAACCATGTCTATCAAAACACCACGTATTAAGAGATTCGAGTCTCTCGTTCAGAGATTCGAGTCTCTCGTTCAGAGACTGGATACGAAATGAGGATCTCTCTATGAGCGACTCGAGTCTCTCGTTCAGAGATTCGAGTCTCTCGTTCAGAGACGCTAAACAGTTTTTTTGACAGTCCCTCTCAGCAACACCAGAGAGACTCGACGAGAGACGGAGACTCAGGCCTCGCTTTCAGAGACTCTGAGAGACTGAACATTTTTATCTCGAGTTTCTCTGTAATTATGTCTCTATCCCAATAAAGATTGACTAAGTGGTTTTCTAATACATTCTGTGGTCTGTATTTATAGTACGGCTCTATCTGGTTTATGAGTTAAAACTTTTTGGCTAACAGCGAGTGTATCTATTTAGCAACATTATTATGTCTGTTGGTGTATTGTCGGCTGGCTGAAAATGAGTAACCCCCACTGATATAGTCAATTGTTTCGCGAGATGTGCTACAAGCTCGGCATGTGTCAGATGAAATTGTTGGATTTTTAATAATATATTTTTCATAGTTTTTTGTTTTTATTATTTTGTCCTGTATCGCTATCATGAATCCCTCAGTTTCTGAGAATATATTTCCTATCCTTAACTACACATTAGAAGCTTCGTTATCTATATGTTCCTGTTGTTGTTGGTTATACTCGGTATTCTTCATGAAGCACTAGTGATTTCCACATTTCAATTTTGAATTTTTCGCTCATAATTTTGTCCCCAAGATTAAAATCTGCATCATTAAGGTATAGTGATGTACTAGAGGTTGAAATGGCGCAGATTGAATTATGTAATGGACTATCAGCACTTCTTGTTCTAAAATATGACCGCAAATTAATAACCTGTTTGTAATGTACATTTTTAATATGAATTATTCCTCTTTATCCTAACCGTCTTTTAATTGTAACTTCATCGGTACTTTTATTGGATGGGTTTAACTGCCTTCGTTTCTTTTCACTTAAATTTCCCAATATATATTGCGTTTCTTGAGCTATTTTCTTGAATTTTCTATGCAAAAGTGGTCTACAGCCCGTTAAATTGGTTTCCAGTTCAGTCACTTCGTAGTAGCAGCGAAGAAAATAGAAAATATAGGCATTGTCTTTTGTTTGTCACAATATATTTTAACAGCCGATTAGTAGAAAACCACTTACAATTCAAATAATAAATAGAAAGAAAATTAATTAATATTAATTTTGTGTATTACTTGTTTCAGGGTTACGAGGGGTCACTTCTTAAAGTTACGAGTAAAAATGGAAAGAGTGCTTCGGTAAGTTTTTAATATTTTAAGAATTTTCACATTTTTTACGAAAATCAGTATTATGTAAAAATAGCAGGTACTTATATTACACGTAAAGCAGTAGTAAAGTCTGAATAATTGTTTTGTAAAGGAAACAATGAAAAGCGTTTTGAAATCGGTTCAGTAGTTCCTGAGACTAGGTAGAATTCAACCAACAAACTTATAATTTTTTTTGTATTACAATATGAAGATGAATTTTATTAAATTTAATTAAAACTATTGCGCTGTAATCTGTAATGAAACTGACACACTAAATAATTTTTATTTTTTATGGAGTGCGAACACAAAAACTAATTTTTCTGTAATTTGCGAAATCGATAATATTATCTTTGCATTCTTTGTTAAGTTTTGGTACAAAATTCTTGTTATCTTAGTTCAGAAACTACGTTACTTTATTGTAACAAATAGGTATAAGCTATTAGAAGTTCAAGCATTCCAGTAAGTAAAAGTTTTTCATTTCCAATTACTGTTGCATATGCGAGAATATAAACTAAAGAACAACGTTATCTCTAAAACATTTTAGTAGGAAGTGAAGTAATATACGTATTTTATAATGAACTGAAACATTTCGTGCAAGGGCTTAAAACGAATAAATAATTGATAATCCCCACATTTAATATCTACAGTGGTTAATAAAAGACATATAACATTTAAATTACATTTTATACAATAATTAAATAAAGAAAAGGAAGCATGAAGATGTACAATGTATATATTAATTAGAATGATCCATTTTCGACGTCTATTTCTTTCTTAATATTGAATCGCCTTGTCTCTAACTTGATGAAAATCTATCACAATACACCACACAATTTATAAGATTGTTTTGTGAACTTATTTGTTATGAACTTGTTTGTTAAACATTGGGTTCATCATATTATACTACCACTACAATAGATACTATTACAACGAGTATCCTTCTTATTTATTGTTTATTCATCTTTTTCTCATGCAGCCTGTTGGATTCGTAACATTCAATACAAGAGCTGGAGCAGAGGCGGCAAAGCAGGACTTACAGGTGGGTGTCTGTGTGTTTGATTTACGATTACAATCATGCTTTGAATTCATTGCCTCTGCATCGATAAAGTTGGCATTGGGCTTATGCTATATGCATAACTTTGAAATTATTTACCCTGTACATAAATGTATTTAATATGTAGGTGTTTAGTGGCAGTTTAAGGTGTTGGTATTTATTAATTGTCGTTTAAATAACAAGTCTTGATTGATTAGAAAAAATTTAATCACGAAGTTAATATTCATTTAGCAAAGTGAGATAATTTATTTAAAATGAAAATAACAATTTTCTTTTCAAAATCTTTAGATTTTTTTGAAATAATATAATTTTAACTAAAAGTTGAAAAAAGATCCCCTTTTAAGTCGTATAATAAAGATGTTTTTCAAACCATATTAACCACATTTATCATTGCAATGTTCTGACGGTTAGAGGTTAGAACGGTTATATTGCTTTTAGTGTGTCATGGTTCAAGGTACCAGATTTTCTAAAATTGTAAAAAATTGTAATTTTAAATAAATGTATGCTTAATGTATAAATGTATTTTTTTTACATAATGTCAATAAATTTTATTTTTTGTGTATATTAGATTATTAGATTAAGTGCAATATTTATTTAAATAAAAACAATTTCGTGGTAAGCAGATAATTTCGGCTAAAGTCTCGTACCTTCAATTGTTTTTAGCGTTTATTGCACCACTACAACCCCCTTGTAGCATCCATACATTGCACCGCTTGGAACCATAATTTAATTTTGTTATTTTTCTTGCATTTTTCTAAAATCATATAATGTAGATAAAAGATAAAAAAAAACTGTTAGAGTAAAAGGCATTTAAAACACAGTCACGTTTTTGTGGGCAATTTTGCAGCAGGGCGTAAGGTTTGACCCCGACATGCCCCAGACCATCCGACTGGAGTTTGCAAAAAGTAACACGAAGGTTAGCAAGCCCAAACAGCAAACTGCTAACGCCGTCAACACGCACCCAACTTTGATGCACCCCCTCACTGGACGTAAGTACACCACCACTGCTACAATCACAGTCTCCCCTCGTCTCATCGCCTCCCCCCCACCCCCACTTCCACCTTCTACCATTCTCCTCCCCTTCCCTCTTACTCACCCTTATGCTCCTCCCCCTCCTGGTCTTCTCCCTCCTCCCATACCCTGCTCCTCCTCCGACCAGTGTATGCAATCCCTCCTACCCCTCCTCCTCCTCCTCCTCCGACCAGAGTATGCAATCCCTCCCCCCACACATCACCCGCTACCCTTACTAACTAGGGTTAGCCTACACCTATTGTTTTATTGTCTCCTCACCGTCTAGTGTATCAAATAACACCTCCGTTTGCTTGTTTACCCCGTAGTGTGAAAATATAGTGCAACTTGTACCTTTGTAGTAGCTCTATGAAGCACTTATAGTTTATAACTTTGTGTAAAGAAAATTCAAAACATTAACCGAAATTTTGCACTTAATTTCTTCTTACAATAATTAATTTCTTAATAACTTTTATATGAAGTAAATTAAAAAATAAATAAGATAAGATATTAATTAAATTTACATTATTTTAGGCCTTCGAAATTAGTATTTTATTATTTATTAAAGCAAACATCTCTACAAACTCTTGATCTAGTTATACATTTTTTAAATAAAATAAAATTGGCATTTTGAACACTATTTAATTCCTAGATAAAAAGTATCACTTCCTGATTTAATACAGACTTATTAAAAAATAAAAAATGCAATTGAACGAAGCTTTCTGCTTAAGCTCTAAATTCCTAAGGTTTAGAGAAATCTTCCTGTCTGGCAAAACTGGTCAAAAATCGAATGTGTTAGTGGACATCTACCGTCCTTTTACGAGGTAGATTCCATTAGTATGTCATCCAGTGAATATATCTGATAGGATCCAGTGAATATATCTGATAGGAGTAATTCAAAAAAGCTTTAGAAGTTCGATTTAGTATAACCCTATAAGTAGAATGTAATATAGTACATGCTGTAAAGAAGAAAGTATTGGTATTCATATTAATCGATTCAAAAGTAAATTTCTATTGGAATGATTTTAATCAATAAGGAAAGAGCCATAACAGAAAAGAAGGCGGACATTAATTTTCAGTAGCTTTTTTAAATATGTGTTACCGGAAATGTATGAAATCCGTCATTGTATACAATTCCTAGGAAATGTATATAATTCCTAAAGTCGCCCGGAAATGTGTGAAATAAATAATATTTGACATATTTCCTAGGAAATCCGTACATTTCCTAAATAGGTAATAATACGGCAAGCTGTTTGGAGATGTACCTATATCCATTGATGATGTCATTGTTTGGTTAGGGAGGTTTATGTCAGACTGGAATTATGTTAGATGTTAGAACAATGTGATGAGGTTATCTTTGTTTCAGCAAACACGATGACCTTGAATTCTCAGTATGTTAAACTCCAGCTGTCGTAAATCTACCTAATAACCATACAATAACGTCACTAATGCATATACATCAGGCGATTGCACTAGAACCACGTAAACATAGATAACTCTCATTTTATTTGCATAAAGCATTAGTTTTATACATTTCCTAGTACAATATGGGAATTTCGTAGAATTCCTAGGAAATGTAACATTTCCCAAGATATGTGTGTATTAAAAAATCTTTGAAACAATACTTTATAGATTTCCTAAATAGCCTCGGCATTGTATACATTTCCTAGGAATTCTATACAATTCCTAAATTTCATACGTTTCTTGTAACATATGCACTGTTCTGTATTTTCAATGGTAATCAAGTTGTGACTGGTATTAGTTACCTTTATTTACCATTACGATGGACTAAGTAATTGAAGTCATTTCAGACTTGGGTACGCCGTTCTTTCCGGGTGGTCCAGAACTGTGGCACCATCCTCTGGCGTATTCGGCGGCAGCAGCAGAGTTGCCTGGAGCAGCGCTGCAGCACGCGACCCTCGTCCATCCTGCTCTCCACCCGCAGGTGCCCGTACGTTCGTATCTTTGACTATCTACAACAACATCTTCAGATCATAAGTCTGGTCTGGACTCTTCGCAGCAGCTGCAACAAGCCGCGGCGGCCGCGGCCGCAGCTGCAGCGGCAGCAGCCACTGGCACCCCTGTACCGCATCATCACGTTAGTTTATATTGATTGACAGATCTAATAGTTTTTCAAGCTTCCTCCCTCATAAAAAACATTCATTTATTAATTGATAAACCACAGACTACGTACACCGTTTTTTTTTGTTTTCGTGGAAGAGGGGAAATCTTCAAAAGACACCCAGTCGTCCGTACGACTGGGTAGTGTCGGATTCTCGCGGAAGGTGACCTCGGATCCACCAACTAAAACCCCTCTACCACAGATCGTTCTAGGTCTAGACAAGGTCCTCTTCAGCCGTATCATCGTATTGATTTCCCGAAACAAAAGAATAACGAAAATTTTGATTTATTTTATGCCATAATCAATTAAATTTCGATTTGAAATCGTTGACCTCTAGGCAGTGGTGTTGTGCTATTTTTTTTTACCGGAACGCGTATATATAATTATATAGACAGGGCCGATCCTGGGTAGGCGGCCGCTCTGTGCGGTCTCATATCCCAAATTTGACGACGACGGGGGGGGGGATTTCCCCCAATTTTCGCCCGTCGCCAGAATCGGCCCTGTTCACGGTTCGGAAAAACAAGCCGGTTCGTTCCGGTTTTTGTTCCGGTTCGGGTTCGGTTCAAACCCTTGTTTATAATAATACATATAAAAATTCGTCAAAAATTAGAAAAAAAATCAGCAATTCTTTTTAATTTTTTTTTTCAATACGTCAGCCAATTCTCGTTATCAGAAATCATTTTTAGTTCCGGAACGCGTTCCTGTCCAAAACCGAAGTACCGGAACGACGTTCCGGAGCGTTCCGACTCGACAACACCACTGCCTCTAGGGACTATATAACGAACAAAATTTTAATGCAAACTTGAATGAAATGAAATGCTAAAGAAAATCCGTTTGATTCTGTTTCATACAATAAAAATGAGGTTTTTAATAAGCTTTTGGATCTTTCATACGGTTTGAGAACTTTTTCTAACTAAACCTTCATATCAAGTACTTGAAATCTAACAAAATTCAATTTTGAAATGTTATAATCCTATTTTATTAGTGTAACTTTCCTTCTTATAACTCGGCTAATTCAAAAACGAATAAAAAGAGTTAAGTATAGTATAGGTAAAATATTTTTTCGATGTCAAGGTAATATTTAGTTCAATTCCAATCAATATTTTCCTTTGACCAGAAGTATTGGAAAGACGTAGTCAAAGTAAGGTAAAGACGTAAAGTTTTCCGTCGAAATCGAACCGTTAATGTTCATTAATCCCCCTTAAGAGACAGACACAAATTATGATCAACTCAACTAGGTCGACAACGATTTGAAGAATTTCTCTTTTATTCCAGCCTCCAATATCTCTGCCGCATCCTACTGCTCTAACTTCAATCCATGCAGCGTCACTCCCTCAGTTTCTACCCAGTCCCGCTCTGGCGTCACCGGTGGGTTCATCTTCGTCACAGCCTGGCCTTGGAGTGAGTAACCCTCCTTGTTCGACCCTGTTTGTGGCCAACTTGGGTCAATTTGTGTCTGAGCATGAATTAAAGGAAGTTTTTGCCAGGTTTGTTCAGCGCACATTGTCATTTATTTATTTTTTTTTACAGTACATTTTAATCAATTATTTTTCTTAATGTATTTACTTTACTAATGGCCCCATATTCACAATCACTATCACCGCTAACTTTTTTGCATTTCTTTGGTATTATTGCAAGCGTTAAACCTCTGGAATTATGGAGTTACAGGATTACTTAAATTAAAATAAAAATTTAACTATTTAACTGTAAGCTGACAGTTGCAATGATACCAATAATCGAGTGATCCAAACCGCAATTTTTTAAGGGTGTTTTGCATTAATATTAACAACCCACCTGCACCTTACATGAATTGGTTAACACTACGTTTTGCTTTTCCACTTCTAATATTTACTAGCTTTTATTCTGATAACATTCCTGAAAAAAGTTTATTCCGCAAGTTAAAAAGTGTTTGAAAGTGACACTACATGTAATATACAGGAGTGTTACCTAATCCATTATCGTTTTAAAAAACTCTTCCCAGCACCACCTGAGTACTACTGTAGCATATCACTATTCCTCCTGAGGGTAGCTTCACAGTTGCATCAAGGTCAATACTACTCTATCGAATTTTCTATAACTTGGAATTGTATTTTTATTCGAAATCGACTAGTTTCTCCAAAAGACCCTTCTTAGTTGCAAGTTTTTCTACTTGAACGCGTGTATCCTCCATTTAGCTACTGAATAATTAAAGAAAAAATATAATTTTCCAATGTAATACTCAATCAATAGAAAAAATCGGTTGTCTGTAAAGTCGGTTTACTGACGATAGTTGAACGTGACAACGTCATAAGAAAATACTGATGGAATGGTTTCATTTTTCAAAAGAAAATTTTAATTTTATTTGTTTGATAGATATTTTGTATGGATATAGAGAAGGAGGTAAATGGAAATGTATTATTGTATAGCAGCTGTCCACGCGGACGCATCGCTCACTCAAGTAGGAGAGAGACAGATGTCGAACGCTGCCGAACGCGGAGGCCGATTGTACCTCTTTGTCGCTCGTTCCGCGCTCTCGCTTGCACTTCAAGCCTTAAATGGAACGCCTCAGAGCGAGGTAACGCTGCATGAGTCATGTTTTTTCCTGCGTGCAGCCGGCTCCATCGAATTATAAGACGTTGTCACGTCAAAAATTACCAGAATTACTGCAAGAAAATTTTCAAAGTAATTACAAACGTAAATAGGAGATACATTTCGAGTATCAATAGAGCCCAATTTCCGCCCCAAAGGGAACGGTGGGAAATGGGTTGGATGAATAGAAATATGATTATCAAGTTATAAAAATTCCATGGATGAACGAATTGATCGGCTAGTAGGTAGTTGTAGGAGATTGCATAACCGACCCTCCTAACACACTGAGTTGCACTTGTGGTGTTCTTGTTGCACAGCTTCCCAGGCTTCTGTCGCCTACGCATGCACAGCAAGGGTGGATCCCCTGTGGCGTTTGTGGAGTACCAAGAAGTACGCTATGCTGCACAAGCAATGGCTGCCCTGCAAGGCTCCTTTCTTCTCTCCTCCGATCGCGGTGCCATTCGTATCGAATACGCCAAAACGAAAATGGCTGCAGAGGTCTGTTCAATAGCATTTACCACTGCTACTACAAATCTTTCCCAGCCCTTTCAATTTATCGTATGTTCAAAGGCGGAATTTTGTCACTGTCGAAGAATCAGCCAAGTTCTGAACAAGATCAAAGGCGTCAGATTGGTGTTGTAACTACTACTGTACATAATACGAAAGCTTTTGTGATTAACATTGATATTGAGCTAGTTTCCTTAACACAGTAGATTTTCTTGTAGTTTTCTTTTACTTTTGATGTTCCTTATATATCTACGTATCCCAAGTTGGTCAAAATATTGTAGTTTTGTTCTACCGGTTCGACAATCTCGTCAATAATTTTTGATCAAATAGTGAGTGAAATCGTTGATTTAAGTTTAACCAATTACCTCTGCCACTATATAAATTGATATTCGTCTTATAAAATTTTAATCGAAAATAAATAATGTTGATTATTTTCTAACCAGAAATTATTAAATCATCAATCCCTAGCAATTATGCTTTTGTTGGTAAGGTATAATAGACTAGCTGACCCGGCGGACTTCGTACTGCCTCATTCGATAAATAAAAGACCTAAACTTTTGTATAAAATAAACTTAAAACAAACAAAAGGAATCCTTTTTGTCTGAGGTATCGATCGACATAGAGGATGGATCGACATATTAGTTGGTTGTCAAATGTCAAATATTATGGTTGCGTTCAGAAATTTAATTTGTGACGAAACTTAACATTTATCAATTTTATAATCTGAAAGATAGTTAACAACTTTCATATTTAGTCACCTTTTAAACCTTCTTTGGACTTCCACTAATAATTCAAGACCAAAATTAGCCAAATCGGTCCATCCGTCCTCGAGTTTTAACGAGACTAACGAACAGCAATTCATTTTTATATATTTATATATATATACAGGGTGCTTCAAAAAAATGTATACACACTTTGAACTTCCATAGAAAATTTATTTACCGTTCTACAAAGTTAAATTTCAGGAAAATAGAAAGCTGAAAGTCCAATGTAAATGAAACATAAATAACAAATGTTAATACTGTTCAAATTGGTGACCTACAGCATCAATACAATTCTGAGTACGAGTCACCACAGATTCTGTACATCGTATCAAAACGTCCAATGAGATTTCTCTACACACTGCTTGAATCTCATTCCAAAGAATGTCTAGGTTACGTGGTTTACGTTTGTACACCTCATCTTTTACTGTGCCCCACAAGAAGAAATCCAGTGGTGTAAGGTCTGGAGAGCGTGCTGGAAACTCGATTGGCCCCCTGCGTCCTATCCACTGGCCCGACAAATTTTGATCCAGGTAAGCTCGTACGTCCCTGTGATAGTGCGGCGGAGCACCATCTTGTTGAAAATAAAAATCATCATTACCGTATAATGCACGAATGGCAGGAAATATGGAATCAGCAAGCATTGTTAGGTAATTAATACCAGTTACAGTGCCTTCAAATCGAAAAGGTCCAATGAGTCCCCTTGAAGACAAACCGCACCACACATTTACACCAGGCAAATTTACAGCTTTTTCAATTGTAATGTGAGGATTTTCTTCACCCCAGTAAACACAATTGTGCCTATTGACAGTTCCATTAAGTTTGAATTGGGCTTCATCCGACCAAATGATGCTACCCATAAATCCCGGTTCACGTATCACCATCTCCTGAATCCATTCACAAAATTGCAACCTTCGATCTGGATCATCGTCATTTAGCTGTTGCACCAGCCTTGGAATGTAAACACGATACTTGCCTCTCTTCAGAATGCGTAGCACGCTTCTAGCACTTACATCACTTTCACGTGCCCCTTGCCTTGAAGATTTGTTAGGAGAGCGTTGAAACAGTTCCAAGACTGCCGTTGATGACTCATCACTTGTAGCTGTTCGAGGCCGACCTGAATGACCTTTATGCACATCACACACTGTTCCATGAACTTCGAATTTGTCTCGTATGCGTGTAATTGTTAATCTTGAAGGTGGTTCTGTATCATACTCCTTTCTCCACTGTCTTTGAACTTCATTTACATTCTCAAACTTCCAGTACCACTTAATAACCTGCTTACGTTCTTCAAAACTCAAACGTACGTCCCCCATGTTGATATTACAAATTCCAACTGATAATATAACATAGAGGGACGATTATGCTGGCACCTGGCGAAGAAATATACCATTAGCCTTGTAGAGCGGGAAAATTACAATAGTTTAAAGTGTGTATACATTTTTTTGAAGCATCCTTTATATATATAGATAGATTACCTTAATGTTATTAACAAACATATTTATCAATTCATAAATGACTAAAAAGTAGTTAACATTCACGGAATATTCTAAAGATTTCACTCATCATTTAGTCAAAAATATTTGGTGGAGTTGGTGAAGAATCCTTTATTGGAAGAAATTTCATCAAAAAGTCTAGCACATTCACAAACTGTGTTAAGAACCGTTATAAAATTTTGGAAAGATACGAATGGTTGTTCACAATCGATTGAAGGGAAAGGAGAAACTGTTTTGGTTCAGTTATGCAATTTGTATTATCAGTGGTAAAGGTATGCTGGTGTTGCACATATTTTTTGGTTGGTTTTCGTTTTTATCTTTACGTTTTCGATCCCATCAACATTATTAGTAGTGTCAGTATTACACAAAAATGACCGAATGATTCCGATGTTACCAGAATATTTAAAAACCAGTTTCTGTTTCAGGGATCAAAAGGAGAAGAAAATGGACAATCTTAATCCCTACATGCACTTAACTACCTGACAGTGGGAACTCGCCTCAGCCGGTGGCCACTGTTGAAAATTCCAGATATATTTTATTTTCCCAATTGCGAAACAAATTAAAAAAGTAATAATAACAAAGAACTGTTACTCTGTCACTATTTTCAACTTTGTTGGTTGTTAAATACATGTAGGTTCATACATTTTAAAAGGCTGGCCACTAATTAATACAGGTACAACAATCTATCTAAAGAGTTACTTGAAAATCTATGCAGGATAGGCTTAAAACCAAAGGTGCCCTAAGCTTTATGTTTCCTTTTTACAATATATTGATACAATTATGTACTAACTTTCGACGAATTAATCGCTGATGCAAGTTTGTTTTTAATAGCTATTAATAATTGTCTAGTACTACTATTGCAGGTAAATTTTAACGGCAATACACTCTCGTAATAATGTATTGCACTGTATTTAAATTTTTATTTAGAGTATTTATTTTTTAAATGATTTCATATACATACAGTAAAACCTCTACATCTCCCAGATTTAAACCAAAAAGAGAATGTTCGTTTCAAAGTTAATTTTCATTATTCTTGAAGAAAACCAAAGACCAAATCTTCTTCTTACCAACCTCTACAACATTAAGTGATTTTGATCAAATTCAGGTGTCGTATTTTATCTAAACATTTTTTCAAAAAATAAAATAATATACTTACAAAATACTATTTTTGATGACAAAATGAGGCCACTTATTTTGAACGGATTTTTGTAAGAAATTGTTCATAATTAACTATATACTGAATATACTATGATTAAACATACATACAATTTAGACATCTTGTTAGAAGTGAGTTAGTTTAATATGAAATATTATACTGAAAATTCAATTTCTGAATTTTTTACCCACTACACGCTACCTCAAATTAATGAGGGAAAAATTGTTGCTGTTGTCACACCCCCGCCGGGAATCGAACCCGGGACCTTTGGCTTTACGCACCAATGTTCTGACCACTAAACTACGAGAGGTGACAACAACAACCACGACCAACCGACCTACAAGGTTAACGATCCGTCGAACTAATGTAACTATATACTGAATATACTATGATTAAACATACATATAATTTAGATATCTTTTAGAAGTGAGTTAGTTTAATATGAAATATTATTCTGAAAATTCATTTCTGAATTTTTTACCCACTACACGCTACCTCAAATTAATGAGGGAAAAATTGTTGCTGTTGTCACACCCCCGTCGGGAATCGAACCCGGGACCTTTGGCTTTACGCACCAATGTTCTGACCACTAAACTACGAGAGGTGACAACAACAACCACGACCAACCGACCTACAAGGTTAACGATCCGTCGAACTAATGTAACTATATACTGAATATACTATGATTAAACATACATATAATTTAGATATCTTTTAGAAGTGAGTTAGTTTAATATGAAATATTATTCTGAAAATTCATTTCTGAATTTTTTACCCACTACACGCTACCTCAAATTAATGAGGGAAAAATTGTTGCTGTTGTCACACCCCCGTCGGGAATCGAACCCGGGACCTTTGGCTTTACGCACCAATGTTCTGACCACTAAACTACGAGAGGTGACAACAACAACCACGACCAACCGACCTACAAGGTTAACGATCCGTCGAACTAATGTAACTATATACTGAATATACTATGATTAAACATACATATAATTTAGATNTAGATGTTATCATCTTTTAAAAGACTTGATAACTAATCCGAGAAAAAATAAATAAAAATACAAAAAAATTAATAAATAACTAGATGAATGGCATAATGTAAGATTTTGTTGTATTTTTGATAACCCGTCGGATATTGTTAATTCTATTATCTTATGATGTAGTGAGCTTGTAAGCTTAATAATTATAGGAATATTTCTAGAAATATATATTATATATATACATATAAGGCATTTGTTAAATTGCAATCAGATTTTCGATAGCACATGTCTTTTGACGTTTGATGTTTACATACATAATATTACATTACTTGCATACATTTACATTTCGGTCCCTCATTTTTTCCATTTTGTTTTTTACAGTGTGCGCATCATTTAAAATCTGAAAGTTCTACTCATCTTGCTAATTAGGATTAAATATTATTGTTATTGTCAGTTTAACAAGCATTAATTTTTGTGGGAACTTCTTTGTAAAAGTGGGAATATTGCATGTTCCATCGGACAACAACTCGAACGGAATTCAAGCAATTTATCAACTACCGTCCACACTAACGCGGTCATGGCAGCGCGAGAGCGAAACAAAACGTTCACTAAGCGGTACGAGTAATGCATGAGAGTGCCTGTCTATCCCCACGTGGGCGAACGCTCTCCAAAGCAAATAATCGCGCTAGGGTGTTTTTTTTTTGTTATTTTGACGATCTTGTCATACTATAAAACTTTATTAAAGGCGCCACTTCTTTCTAATATTTCAGGTCTTTGAGATTCTCATTGATAATGATAGCAATGATAGATTATATCGTATGAACTTTACGTTTTTTGCAACCTGATTGTTTATTGATAAAGTAAATATTTTTCGATGATATCGTCGTTTTTGCGAATATAGAATTTCTTTTTTTCTAATACCTATGAAATATTCCCACATACATATTATATCTAAGTTAGATTGGTAGTTACATAAAAAAGTAATCGGTAAGTCGAGTTATTTTATGTAGTACAGATAAATTTACCAAAGCTAGTTTTAAGTAACAGTTATAGAAAAAGGAATGGCGTTGACTCCGTCAAACTTCTAGGCAAAATGTTCGAATTGTATTGTTTACTTCACTCTGTCAATCGTCAGTCAGTTAACCTATCGACATGCAAATTTGCTGTCTTATAGCTAGTTACTAGTTGTAGTCTATTACTATTTAGAGTATATTCATATATAGTGTTGTAGTAGTGCTTTCTGTGTGACATTTATGTGATAATATCTATTACAATTGTTAGATGTACGACAGAGCGGTTTCCAGGTAAAGAGTGGGGAAGGTCATGGCCCATTGGCCAAGCAGTCAATTACATCCAAATTATTGTGTCTATTGAAAAAAAAAAAACCACTGATTTCTCTTAGCCTGGAAAACCATGCAGATTTTTAGCGGTACCATCATGGCACTCAAACTTGAACACAAACGAGAAGATCCATTTCAACTTACCGATCCTTGGTGTACTTTACAACATCAAACTTTAACGATCATATCAATGAGTCAATTATTATAAAAGCATTCCATCCATTTTGAAAAGTTTATTGCTTGTAACTAGGAAGAAGATCCGTTCAGATTCTCCAAGTACAGATAAATGTTTTTTAAATACGTTAGTTATTTCGTTGCTCTTAAAATTTCAATATTCGTGATACTGCTTCATGTTATCGCAACTGTACCTTACATAAATATGAAATTGATTCCTACAGCGCAAGTATCTCTCTAAAATAAAAAATTGCCGTCACGAAGTTCAACGACCCCACGTTTTTCGTCCCATAATCGGCCGAATCACCCTACTATCGATGTTAAATGTTAAATGTTAAAAATATTAAAACTTGTCATCAGACGAGAGAGAAAATAAAATTGTTCAAGTCTTTGAGTGACAAGATGGTGCCGTTCTGCGTCAATTTCCGTCCATTGCATGCCGCATCGTTGAGAGCATGCAAAGCTCAATACGAGCGTCCTGGGTAGGGTGGGTGTCAATCAGAATCTAAAAGTAACTGGGCACACCCAGCTCCTGAATTCGGGAACTATGACAAACATATCAGCTAACTATTAAGTATATTATTACCTTTTATGCAATCCGAACCTCTAGATGTTGTACGTGTTGTGGATATAATTATTAATAGTAAAGTTGGTGTAATAATGGGGATGACGTTAACAACTAAGCAGCTTGGCCTGATACTTTTACTTGAAAAAAAATTTATTTGGTACATTTTCCGTGTATTTGCGTATTAAATATTAAAAATTTCATTGCGAAACGGTGAGGACGGACTAGCAAATTTTTCTAAAAATATAAATCCAAACACCCCAAAAAAAAGAAAATTTATTTATCTAACCTAAAAAATTTAAATGAAATAATTCTATGGGTGTTGTTTTAAAATATAAAGGAATGATCTACGTCGAAAATTTATTTAAAACATTAAAGAGACGTTATAAATAAATACTAAGTAAGAGGAACACGGTTTTTTAAAACTTGTACAGCACTTGTAAAAAAACAGCAGCTTTTATATTAAGAGAACGCACCTGTAAAGTTACCGCACGAAATTCTGATATTTAACATTTTTATATAGTGAATAAATAAAACTTAGACATAGAGAATGACAAAAAAAGATCGAAATTGTTTAACTTTCATCGTGCCTTTTTCTAATTCGTATTTCAACTGTGATAATTTACAATTTTGTTATGAAATAATTAGATAGTGTTTGCCAATGCATTAATAATTCAAGTACACACAGCAAACCGCAACGACACTTTTTTAATTACTATTATTATTACCATTGAAAAAAAAATAAAATCGCAATTGAGAAATCAATAAAAATATAATTTGTCAATTGAAATGTTTGACTAGTGATATAAATAATTATTCTATATCAACATGATTACACTTATAGTGATGACGTATCTAATATTTTTTTGAAAGGAAAAGTGATTTGGTGATTTCAAAAAGAAAAAAAAGAACAAACAAATACTCTAAAAGGCACCAAGAAAGAAATTGGGGCCATTTTTGTCTAACGTGTCTCATTTTATCTAATAGAATGTTAAAAATGGCCGCAATCAACACATCTGCGTTTATTAGTCCCATTTTTAATGGCCAAGCTGCTAAGTTGGGGGTTAATTATGTGATAATATATATTGTCGTGAATTACTAAATATTACCGCAACCGCCTTCTCTGCTTTAGGTAAGCAAAACACCATTCTCTAAACATATCATGATCTGTGCCCCTTTTAAGCAAAGAAAATTCTAGCAATTAATGAACTAATGAAATTTGATAATATTTAAAGTACGATTTTACATATACAAAAAAAAAATATTAAACAAGATTTATTAAAAGAAAGGAGCCTTGAACACGTTATATCGAGGATTGAGACAATTGGATAAAGTCGAGTGATCGTCTTCTGTTTTATTTTTTATAAATTTGTTTGTAATGGAATGAATTTGATAATCGTTAAGTGAATTGAAAAAAAAACCATTGCTGACTTTTTTTTTTAATAAATTATAGACACCCTATTACAAAATACTGAATGATCAGTGTCTGAGAGAGGGTAAAAATTCATTCCGATAAAGTTGGGATTAAAACATCCCCAGTGCCTGATAAATTATGGTGAATTTTGTCATAAAATTCAGTCAAACTAAAGAGTCGGCAATAGAACTTTTCATTCCACCAAAAATATGGTAAAAAACTACTTTTTAGAGTGCCTCAAATGCAACTTACTAATAAATACGTCATTCGCAGATATCAGGTCCGCGCATAGGCCGCGCGTCGTTCGCAGATTTAAGGTCCGAGTGAAATTATCATTGAAAACAAATTTAATTTTATTCATGGCTAGTAGTAGAAAATTGAGAGTACAATAGCGTTATCGTGCCTGTAGAATCCAAACTACCTTCTAAGTACGCCCCTGATAATTACGTCATCTGCGAAGACATGCGGTCCTTACTATTATTAACGTATCATTTTCCATAACTTTTCAATGAATGAACACCGACTTGTTCTTTCGGCAGTTTCATCTGTGAGATTTTTCTTATAACACACGTTAATTTAATCGAAATCTATCATCTGTAATGTTATAAACATTTTATGACTGAATCTGAAAAAAACACGGACAAAAATTTCGTTTTTTATAGATTACTTTTACAACTGATGGCCATTAAAGAAAAAAAAGTTAAAAGTGGTCATTCACAAGCACATATTTTTCAAAACCACTAGCACACAAGAGCTGTCAATTGTTTTTCGGTCGTTTACAATACTTATGAATATTTTTTTGAAAGCCGCATTACAAAAGTATTTGTGTAAATAGTCTCGAATGCTAGTGTTTAAGTCTCCTTGAAGAGTTGCTTTCTTGTTGCGTTGCTTTTGTACTGTACTGTACATTATATACTATACATTACTACTGCTAAGCGTGTAATAGGAAAATGGTTACGAATTTTAGTCTTGAACGGTACAAATACTGAAGATATTATTAACAAATTGCAATCGAAGAATAATTAAAAAAACAATCCAAAAATAATATTTGTGGTAATAGTTTCAAATTATTTCATTGTGATATATCTGCACAGGACGTTTTGCAAAAAGAACCAATAAATTAGAAGGAAAGTTACCAATAAATCGATACAGTGCGATTGATAAATTAAGAACGCGATTTTGGTTTACTTGATTAATTTTTTTTGTAAGGAATGATACACAATGTCTTCAATAAGTTTTGCATCGTTCAATTATAATAGCCTTAAATAAATAAATAAATAGATCCTTCATCTGGATGGAAGCATATCCGTAGGTAATAAGAAAAATTAGTCTAATAATAATAAGAGTAATAATATTAATATGTATAATGTTGAAGTGTTTGTTTAGAATTCGAAGTACAACAACAGCTTTGATGGATTTAAAAACCATTTTTCTTGTGTCGAACTTAATTGTTATTGATGCTAGTCAAAATACTACTACTTATAAAAAGCCCACCCACCATCTTGCCCCTTAATATCGCTGTTCAGAATGAGCATTCCATACAAACATTAATTATTATATTAATTACCTGAAAAACGTACTTACTAGTTATAAATTGTATAGGGTCCAAAAGATGGGAATAAAAATATATATAAAAGGCATCAATCTGTTTTATTTTTCACCTATGAGTAACAAAATAAAATATATCTAATCTAAATTGTTCTTTTAAAGAAGATATACGTATTCAACTCGTCCTCACAAAGTTTTTATTCTAATCGTAAAAGATAATTTAAAGTACACAAAGAAAAAGTCCTTCATATCAACATCTGTTCTAATGGTCTATCTTTTTAAGATTTCACTATCTCTCTCGTTCTTGTTATTAAGTATTTCTCGAGTTGTGAAATATTCATAATTTGAATTTTATGAAACCGGGGCGGAAAGTAGCCACGCGATTGGTTAAATTACGAAATATTTGCCGCGAAGCATCGCAGAAATCTAAAGTGGTGCTTCTGAGTAACGTTTCATACGTCATCAGTGCTCCATGCGTTAGCCATCGCAAAATCAAGCCAGCCTGAGCACACCGTTGTTCATTACCAAGCAATCCAGTCTTGTCGTTCGTATTTGGAAGAAGGTTTGTGCACGTGTTTTAGATTCAATTTATTGAATTCATTTATTTTATAAAACAGATTTTATTTAATTGGAAATAATCAGTTTGAATTTGCACTTTTGAATTTCATATGGGTTAACGTAACCAAATTCATTCGGTTAGTTTTTGAAGTACATTATCCAATCATGCTAGAGTATGTACCTATCTGAGAGTCACTAGTTTGTCATTCATTATTTCATTTTGCTACCAATTAATGTGAGAACACATGCCATTATATACATTTGTAGGTACCCAAAGTACATTGTGCATGCCATGTGCTCTGGAGCATCAGTTTATTTTCATTCCAGGATTTAGAAAGTATAAAGATGTTTTTTTGCACTGGGAACAGAGTTACGGTATTCCTGTTGCTAAAGGAAGGATTTATAACAATGAATTGGTAAGTAAGAATATTAATTAATTATAATGGATTGAAATTTTCATTGAATTATTCCAGAAACTATAATTTCTTAAACATTTGTAACCAAAAAACATTAACCAATGATAATACATTGAAATTTTCCTTAAATTACTCCAGAAACTGTAATCTCTTTTGTAACCTAGTTTCAATCATGGCTTAAGAATCATTTCACAAATGGATTTCTTTTTACAGGAACATTTTAGAAGCTACGTATGTCGTGTGTTATGGAAGTATGAAAAATCGCCCCTTTGCACTCCTTGATCTAAAAAGCATAAAAGTCACTCTCTCCCATTAAATAAATAAGTAGGATGTTGCTGCTACTGAAGAAAGAATATATGACAATGAATTGGTAAGTAACATCATTAATTAAAAGTAATCGATTGAAATTTTCATTAAATTATCCGGAAACTTCGACCACTTAAATATTTGTAACATATATTTAACAATCATGTTTCAAGTACCATTTCAGAAATGTCAAACAGTTCAGCAGAATTGAAGTAAAGCTATGTTCTTTCCAACCTACACCAATAAATAATAAATTATTTTCATAAACGGTGTAATGTGTATATTATTATCCCTTTCACTTGCATCTAAATTTTCAGCAAAATAATGACACCACCTTAAAATTTTTAAATTTTACTCGTATAACTGCGGTTCTATTCAATTTCTAATCTCGTTTATTTGGTATTAATTGGATTACCTTGTCATTTTCTATAGATTGGCCAACAAAAATGAGAGAGAATTGAAGTTAGTTGTGATGCTCCTGAATCAACCAATAGTGCCGTTTTTCCTGGACTTGATTATTGAGTTCCTGCTGACGACTTCCCCATTCAACGTCATGTTTGAACCCCACTGACCGACAAATTATTTGCAATGGTATCGTTCGTCATAGATTTGGTTTGCTTTTTACACCTCTAAACTTTGGAATGTTACATTCTGCAGTGTATTAAGGTGAGAAAAATACATGGCCTAATTATTCATTGTTTCTTACAAATCTGTTACCACCCTATCTGTTTCAAGTTTCCTCGCGCGTGTTTGGAAGAAGGTTTATTCACCTGTTTTAGATTCAATTTATCAAATTCATTAATCTTATAGAATATATTTTATTTAATAACCAATAATCAGTTTGAGTTTGCACTTCTGCATTATATGTGGATTAGGGTAACTAAATTCAGTCGGTTAGTTTTTGAAGTGCATTATCCAATCATGATAAAGTATGTAGATATAAAAACGACTGGTAGTATTTTAGTTGGTCACTGGTCAATTTATCATTTCAGGAATGTCAAAAGCAATACAGCAGAATGAAAGTAGAACTACTTTACGTATATTATATTTCCTTTTACTAGCATCTAAATTTACAGCAAAATGGTACCACCTCAATAATGTATTGATTTATGTGCGTTTTTATTTAATTTCAAATCTTATTTATTATGTATTAATTCGTTTCCTTGTCCTTTTGCACAGATTGACTAACAAATGAGAGAGAATTGAATTTAATTTTGATCCTCCTGAAGCAACCGATGCTGTCGTTATTCCTGGACTTGATTCTTGAATTGCTGCTGACGTCTTCACCATTCAACGTTATCTTCGAACCCGACTGAACAACAAACTATCTGCAATAGTATCGTTCGTCACAGATTTGGTTTGCTTTTCACACCTCTAAACTTTGGAATGTTACAGTTAATTAAGGTGAGAAAAATACATGATTTAGTTTATATTAATGTTCCTTACTAATCTGTTACCACCCTATCTGTTTCAGATGGACGGTGGAGAAGACAAAGAAGATACCGCAGTTCTTTATCTTGCATGCTTTATCGAATAGAATTAATTCCTTAGATTCAGTTTATTCAAATTAATATTTTATTTTGCATGTTTTTTATAATTCGTTTTATTTGAATTAACTTTTATTATGCATGCTTTTTTGTATGTAGTAATAGTGTTGTGTAGTGTAGTAGTAGCACTAACTCGTTTAGTAGTTGTAGTGTAGTCTAACATGTCTCTTGCTTACCTCTTCGCTTAGCTTACTGCATATTCTTACTATAAATTGCTTTGCATTTACCCTACGAGTTCTACATGATTCAACGTTTCGTTATCGTGTGTGTTTCTTCTCACCCTTGTGGAATTAGGGAGGGCCTCCCCGAACGACTTCCCTTGGGCTTAGCTATTTAGTTGATCTTAAAAGTGTCTTATACACTTTTCGCGAGTCTACTCTAGCGTTACTTCCTTTCAGACAGGGTACAGTGGGTTATCTGGAATAGGAGCAATAGGCGACTGCCCAGCTTGCCTTGGCGAAATCTGTCCGATCTTCT